TCCTTTATTTCTATCTTCGAGGGCTTTTTTTCCTCAAATTCATTCATCAATACCTACCTTCAAAAGAGTTTCTAAAATGCTTGACAGAATTGTAAATAATGGTTTTGCTATAAAAACATTCATGCATTGGTAACTTGCATGAAGAAATATGAATGTATGAAAAGAATGAGGTTTGCATCATCACCAGGTAAATAAAAGTAAGTAGGAACATAAACTTAAATGAGTATCTGTCACTGGTTTAGAGTTTTTACTTTTGCAGCCCAGCCTGAGGTCAGTCTTCCCTGGTGAATTTTCTGATCAGTCAGGCTATTGCTGCTTTTGGCCCACAAGCCCATGTAGCCATCGGAGCCCGGCTGATCAAGTACCTGCTATAGGAACTTACCTACTTCCTTCTTGAAGAATTCTACCACTGTTCTGGCAATTTTTCCCATTTGCTAGTAGAAGGTTAAAAGAGTTATGGACCTCGGACAGTGACACCATGTTCAGACTGTGCTTATGGCACCCCTACATTTTATTGGGTTTATTCTACACTTCCATATCTCCCACTTCATTAGTAAGCCGTTACTTCAGTGTACTGTTTAGATACATAATCTTTGAATATTTTCCATGTATAAATTATGAGATAACTCTCATCTCCATTCCAGAGAGTACGTTTTATGCAAGTAATAAAAGAATTGTATATTTTTTAGCTCTTATATTTCAAATGCCTTGAAAGAAGAAGTGAACACAGAACAGTATCTTAGACAAGAAAACACAAGTGCCTTGAGAAGTACCATCATTGTTGTGGCCTACCGTGTTTGGAAGATTCTTATAATCCTCCCCATAATTTCAGTGGGTGTCACAAGAAAACATGATACCATTAGTTATTGCTCTGTGTGTGTGCCAAGTCTCAATTTGGTTTGACTACAAGTAAAAGAAGCATCGTTGAAAGTGGAAACTAGATAATTTTATTGTATGTTAGTAAATCTTTGGACAGCAGAAACCATTGTTATAACCTTTGTTAACAAAATTAATGCTAAACAAATGCAGTGCTTAAATAAGAGTTGTTTATGTAATAAGTTGATTATGATCATAATTTATTTCCTCTTTTTTTTCTCAGTGGCCGTGTCAGGCCGTGCAAGGTCAGATCCATCTCACCACCACACTCACACTGGGCACTCTCATGGGGCTATGGACTGTGAGGTGTTTAGTCATCACGCAGCTCACCCTCCACATCCAGCTCACCATCCCCGCCATGTGCACCCTCACCATACCCACCGCTGTCGACCGCCGGATCCCCGCCCTCCGGATACTGCTGGACGGCCACAACCCCAAGCCACGTCGTCCAGCAACACGGCAGTTGGTGGGGGATCCTTGCCACCTACAGCAGTATATGCTGCTCATCCATACCTACCTATGGCCCTGGACTGTACCCAGACTGGGTCTGTCAACCTGCCCTTGGCACCCAGCAGTGGAAGTAGTGCATCAGGTCCTCCTTCTGCCCCATACCACTATCCTGGACTACCCACTTTTCCACCATCTGCTTCAGGTAGCAGTGGGAGTGCTGGAGGGCAGCCAGGTATTGTTGGTTATGGTTATCCAGGAGGTACATTGGTGCCAGTAGTTTCTGGGGGCCCTGGTGTTATGTATGATGGGGCACGACCACCTGGAGGGCATCTTGAGCAGCCACAACCTCTGCCTATGTCACAACCAGGAGCAGCGGCAGCAGCAGCAGCAGCAGCAGGAGCAGTGCGGGTGGGACACAGACAGAGCAGCAGTGATGGTACAGGAGGAGGTGGTGGGGGCCCTGGTGGGGCAGGTGCAGGGGGTGAGGACAGCCCTATGGTGGTGCAGCACAGCCCCCTAGCCAGTCATTAACGGCTGGGCTCACCTAGCAACCTGCTCAACAGTGTACTGTGAACAGTGGGCAGCCAGGTTCTGGACAGTGAGACTGATGAGAGCCTGGCCAGAGACAGCGCTAGGCCAGTGGCCGCACTGTGGTGCAGGACCGTGTGTGCCTGTGTGATGTGAGCCTGTGACACCCAGAGTGGAGGCTGGCGGGACCCCACCCACTTTCCAACGCAGCTGCCTGGCCATCCCCCCCTTCCCCAACCTTTCTCTGCTGGCACTGCTTTTATCTTGTTATTTATTACCCGCTGGTGAGGAGGGACCGGCCGTAGGCTGCCCTGCATGCTGGCTGCTGGGCTGCCTGAGGGCCAGGCTGGCTGCGTTGGCTAATCCAGTCTCAGGAACTCCCTCCCCCACCGCCACCACCACATCTATACTACCACCACCCCTCCATTTCCCCGTGTACCCCACTCGCCTGACACCCCTCAGTCATCACTACTACTACATCCACCACAACATCCATCACCACAATGCCTACCATTGATGCATCATGTGCAGCAGACACCTACCACAAACCCATTTAATGTAACACCTATTAAGCATAAATCTCAATACTTTGTGGATGAATCAGTTGCTAGCAAATTATTACCCCTGACCTTTATGGTACATCTTTTATGCAACATTTGTCCACCTCACACTTGGTTGATGTATTATTAAATCAGCCCTGTCATCCTCTTACACCTCTTGTACCGTAATATACACCCTTCTGAAGCATCAGAAAACCAGCATAGCTCCCTCACCCTTGACACAGTCTGGTACTTGATTCAAGTACTGGAAACATGCCTACACCCAGCTGGTGCATCACCCACATAACAGACAACTCCCCCACACCCAGCTTGTGGCCAGCTGGAGAATGCTCAGTCAGATAGCAGCTTTTAGCAAATGTAGAGTATATTCCATTCTGTACTTCAGAACCATAACTATCAAAATATTGTCATAAAGAAGTTTGCATCTTTTTAACTCCTGCTGAATCTATTGAATTTTCTGTCTGACCTAATTCCCTATAAACATCATGCCAAAGACCTCACAATACCTTCATTCCTATAGTGTTTCCTCACCAGTTGTCTACCAGTTTGTGATTTGGGGGGACCCACCATTGGCATATCATTTGTGGTGAATCTTTTATGACCTCTTCTTTATTTCTTTATTTTATGAGAGAGTATTTGCTCACTTTTATAACTTTGCTTTTTTTTATAGACTTTTTAAGGATTATGGGGGTATTTCTTTTATATACAATTGATTCCATGGGTATTGGTTTTAGTTATTGAACCAGATAGTTTGCTTGTTAATCATTTTTTAAATTAATTTTTTGTAATATTTAAAGATCCAGAATATTTCCACCTATATTTTGGCTTCACTGTGGTAGTGAATATTTTATAGAGCTTCCCTATTTAAATTTCCAGCACTTAAGTATGTATACAAGTGTTGATCAACCTTAACATAAGAGACGGGAAAGATACCAGTATTCTCTTGATATTTTTGGTAAAATTTATTCCCTAAATATAACGACTTAATTTGGCAATTGATGTTGACTTAGCATTGAATACTGAACGCATTAGTTGTGACGGGAAAAATAAATTGTGCGCGTGTGCAGGTTTTATATGAAATGTGTGTGTGTGTGGGGTGTGTGTGTTTTGTATATATATATTTTATATATGTATTATATATATATTTTATTTTATATTAATATATATATATATATATATACATACACACATATACACGCACACACACACTGTGTAAGTGTGTGTGTGCACATGTGCAGTGTGTGCACTGGGGTGTGTGCATATGCGTGTGTGTGTAAGTTTGTGTGTGTTCCACACGCACATGTATGTGTGTGTGTAAAAAGAAATTGCTGGGGTGCTTGCTGTTTACCAGCCTGCTACTACATACAAAATTTCATATAAATATTGTGTGTGTGTGTGTGTGTGTGTGTGTTTTGTGTGTGTGTGTGTGTGTGTTTGTGTGTGTGTGTGTGTGTGTGTGTGTTAGGATTTTTAAAAACCCTTTTTTTGAGGTAATTTATTAAGTTAAAATAAATTCCCCTATTTACTTTTCATCTTCTCATTAATATATATCACTGGTTAAACTTGTATGAACTGGGCCACAGAAAGTGTAGCTACTCCCTAGTATGAGTTAACATGACATTTAGTTTTTTTAAACTGGACAGCTTTATCTCCTTATGGCATGTGTCATTACTTATACATCCTTTTTAGTAATTTTGTATACTATTTATTTTTTGTAAGAAAGGTTAAAAATTAAGAAGTTGTTCAACAAAAATTTCTTCTTTGTAATGTATTTAAACTAATAATTATTATTTAAAATCAAAATCATCATGGAGAAGAGTGAAAAATCTGTGCAATTTGGGAAAACTTTATTCATTTGGGAGCAAGACCATACCAATGGAAGAATCAGGGTGTACCATTATTTACTCTTGAGTTCTTTGTTCTGGTGTTCACTTTTTTTTTTTGTTTTCTTCTTTCTCTTAAGTGCTGACACCCCCCACCCTTTTTTTTTTCTTTTCTTTTCGTCTGTAGTGTTTGTCATAGAGGGCATTTATTCTCTGGGTTTTTCATGAATTAGATTTGTATGGCATTTATTGTGAATTTATAGAGGATGTCCCATTAGATGTGTTTACTCAGGAGTTGAAGAAAGCCTTATGGATGTGCACTGTAAGGCTTGAATGAGTGAAATTTGAAGCATTGTTAACAGAAGAATGACAGTTGAATAAGGCCCTTGTTCTTTTTTTATTTTTTTTATGTACATTTGCTCACAGTGGCATACCCTTTTGTGAACGCAGAGCTCACTCACAGTCAGTTGTGCCGCGGTCCATGATGTGTACATAGTCTAGCGGCTGTTGGGAGACAGGGTGGTAGGTCAATGTCAGGCAGAAGGCAAGGTTAAAAGTTTTTTGGATTATCAAATCAAATTGTTTCCCCCAATTGTGGTGGGGTCATTATCCCTTTTGAAAATCCACAAAACTGGCAAACTGCCTTAGACCAGTTTTGTAAAGCAAGCAAAGATGTTATTAATTTGGAGTTGTTATATCCAACTCAAAACTGAACAAAAAAAAAAAAATTAAGGAGACTGTCCTCCTACCATATGACCTCAGTGCTCAGTGGCTTGGGGCTGCCTTTGAGGATTGGGTGTTGCAGTGACCTGGTCCTGCCCTCTTATGTGCTGTGTTGTGCCACTATGGTGATTTCTTGTAGCCATTACCATGTAGAGGACTCAAAACCAGACTATGGCATAGATTTTGCTCATCTTGCAAGGAATATAGGAATTTCAAATAATTTCTTAAATGATTAATTTTTTTATTGCTAAAATTTTTAATTGGCCTGCAGTAGTAACCTTGTTAAAAAAAAATATTTTTCTTCAGCTTTTAGGTGGTTATATGAAATTAATCAGTGTAATGTTGAAGTTTATAAAAGTACTTTTTCCGAAGTAGATTTGTTTGTTACATGCTTGAGAGAAATCAACATCTGTGATCATCTTAGAAGAGGTCAGATACTTTGATGACATTTCTTTTTCTATGAAGGCAGATTAAAATTCCTCCAGTTTATCCTTTATACACTGCAATATTTAAATAACTTGTGTCTAAATGAAAAGCAAATTTTATTTTGTTTCTATTAGGCTTTGTCTCATTATTTAGGTGATTCTTACTCCATGGAGTAAAGAGAAATGTAGTGTTTATCCACCCTTGGTGGTGCAGCTGCTGCTGGCACACTGCATACCACAGGTATGTTTAACCACTTGCTCCTTGCTTCCCATAATATACCATTTTTTAATTACCTATATATATATATATTATAATATATATATATATATATATTATATATATAATATATATATATATTATATATATATATATATATATATATATATTTTATATATATATATATATATATATATATATATAATATATATATATAATATCTTATATTTTTTTTTTTTTTTTCAACAAGTCGGCCATCTCCCACCAAGGCAGGGTGACCCAAAAAAGAAAGAAAAATCCCCAAAAAGAAAATATTTTCATCATCATTCAACACTTTCACCACACTTGCACATTATCACTGTTTTTGCAGAGGTGCTCAGAATACAACAGTCTAGAAGCATACACATATAAAGATACACAACATATCCCTCCAAACTGCCAATATCCCAAACCCCTCCTTTAAAGTGCAGGCATTGTACTTCCCATTTCCAGGACTCAAGTCCGACTATATGAAAATAACCGGTTTCCCTGAATCCCTTCACTAAATATTACCCTGCTCACACTCCAACAGATCGTCAGGTCCCAAGTACCTTTTCGTCTCCATTCACTCCTATCTAACACGCTCAACGCACGCTTGCTGAAGTCCAAGCCCCTTGCCCACAAAACCTCCTTTACCCCCTCTCTCCAACCCTTTTGAGGATGACCCCTACCCGCCTTCCTTCCCCTATAGATTTATATGCTTTCCATGTCATTCTACTTTGATCCATTCTCTCTAAATGACCAAACCACCTCAACAACCCCTCTTCTGCCCTCTGACTAATACTTTTTTAACTCCACACCTTCTCCTAATTTCCACACTCCGAATTTTCTGCATAATATTTACACCACACATTGCCCTTAAACAGGACATCTCCACTGCCTCCAACCGTCTCCTCGCTGCTGCATTTACCACCCAAGCTTCACACCCATATAAGAGTGTTGGTACTACTATACTTTCATACATTCCCTTCTTTGCCTCCATAGATAACGTTTTTTTGACTCCACATATACCTCAACGCACCACTCACCTTTTTTCCCTCATCAATTCTATGATTAACCTCATCCTTCATAAATCCATCCCCGACACGTCAACTCCCAAGTATCTGAAAACATTCACTTCTTCCATACTCCTCCTCCCAATTTGATATCCAATTTTTCTTTATCTAAATCATTTGACACCCTCATCACCTTACTCTTTTCTATGTTCACTTTCAACTTTCTACCTTTACACACATTCCCAAACTCATCCACTAAACCTTTGCAATTTTCTTTAGAATCTCCCATAAGCACAGTATCATTCAGCAAAAAGTAACTGTGTCAATTCCCATTTTGAATTTGATTCCCCATAATTTAATCCCACCCTCTCCCGAACACCCTAGCATTTACTTCCTTTACAACCCCATCTATAAATAAAATTTAAACAACATGGTGACATTACACATCCCTGTCTAAGACCTACTTTTACCGGGAAGTAGTCTCCCTCTCTTCTACACACCCTAACCTGAGCCTCACTATCTCATAAAAACTCTTTACAGCATTTAATAACTTACCACCTATTCCATATACTTGCAACATCTGCCACATTGCTCCTCTATCCACTCTATCATATGCCTTTTCTAAATCCATAAATGCAATAAAAATTTCCCTACCTTTATCTAAATACTGTTCACATATATGCTTCAATGTAAACACTTGATCTACACATCCCCTACCCACTCTGAAACCTCCTTGCTCATCCGCAATCTTACTTTCTGTCTTACCTCTAATTCTTTCAATTATAACCCTACCGTACACTTTTCCTGGTATACTCAGTAAGCTTATTCCTCTATAATTTTTACAGTCTCTTTTGTCCCCTTTCCCTTTATATAAAGGGACTATACATGCTCTCTGCCAATCCCTAGGTACCTTCCCCTCTTTCATACATTTATTAAACAAAAGTACCAACCACTCCAACACTATATCCAACCCTGCTTTTAACATTTCTGTCATGATCCCATCAGTTCCAGCTGCTTTACCCCCTTTCATTTTAAGTAATGCCTCACGTACCTCCCTCACACTCACATCCTGTTCTTCTTCACTCCTGAAAGATGGTATACCTCCCTGGCCAGTGCATAAAATTACCGCTTCCCTTTCTTTGTCGACATTTAAAAGTTCCTCAAAATATTTTCGCTATCTACCCAAAACCTCCATCTCCCCATCTGCTAGCTCCCCTACTCTGTTTTTAACTGACAAATCCATTCATTCTCTAGGCTTTCTTAACTTGTTAAACTCACTCTAAAAATTTTTCTTATTTTCATTAAAATTTCTTGACAGTGCCTCTGCCACTTTATCATCTGCTCTCCTTTTGCACTCTCTCACCACTCTCTTTATCTTTCTTTTACACTCCATATACTCTACTCTTCTTATAACACTTTTGCTTTGTAAAAACCTCTCATAAGCTAACTTTTTCTCTTTTATCACACCCTTTACTTCATCATTCCACCAATCACTCCTCTTTCCTCCTGCATCCACCCTCATATAACCACAAACTTCTGCCCCACATTCTGATACTGCATTTTTAAAGCTATTCCAACCCTCTTCAACCCCCCCCCTACTCATACCTGCACCAGCCCACCTTTCTGCCAGTAGTTGCTTATATCTCACGTGAACTTCTTCTTCCCTTAGTTTATACACTATCACCTCCCTCTTGCTTGTTTTTGCCATTTTCCTCTTCTCCCATCTACCTCTTACTCTAACT